GCTTTGCAATCTCCTTTTCAATTTCTACTTTTAATGTAATGCCGCTATCAAATGTTGATGAAAATTTTTCTAACATGTCTCGTAAACAGCTTACAAGTGGAATCACTTTACTTACCGTGACATAATTTTGTCCAGAAATTTCTTTAGTCAACTTTTCAAACGGTTCTAAAAGTTGGACAATTTCGCGGAGGCATGCAACTTCGCTAGATGTTATCATCGGTGGAGCATCAGAACGACATAATAGTATTGCACCTATCGTTGACACTAACTCTATAAAGCGTTCTAACATATAATAAGTGGAAATCCAACGAGTGCGGACGTCAAGGATTAGCTTCTTCGTCTGGCCTTCCTTCACACCAAAATCCCTTTGCTTTTTACGTAATTCATCACTGGCATTGACAGTGCGTTTAAGGAATTTAATAATTTCACGTATTTTGCTTATGATCAGAGAAGAAGTTTTAGCTTTATCCAATGAATTGATCACAACTAAATTCACTGTATGTGCGAAGCATGGTATTATTTTATTTTCACCAAACATTTCTCTATTTACTTTCATAATGGTGCTGTCATTGTCAGTTACTACAGCAGTAACCCTATCTATGGAAACACACCATTCATCAAAGATTTCTGTAAGTCTCCTTTGCATATATTCTGCTGTGTGTCTTTCAAACAATTCAAATACCCCCATAGTTCCGCTCGTTATCTTAGATTTTTCTAAAAAGTGAATAGTGATGCCGACAAAAGATTTATTCTGCATGGTCTCAGTCCATATGTCATATGTAAGACAGTAATGTTCCGCTACTTTTAAATCCTTTTTAAATCTTCTGACATAGCTTCGTATTTTTCATCAACACGTTTTTTAAATGTTTCTCTAGAAGGAATTTTATACAAGGGCACAACTTCTCGCATTAAATCTGTAAATCCTTTCTCTTCCACAACTGAAAATTATTTATGTTTTGTACCTTCAGTAGTTGTTATGCTTTTAATATTACTAAATAATTGGCTGACAATTTGCTGTTGTCCAGGTTTATTAGTATTTGTAACTTTTAAACTACAACCAGAAGTGCTGACTCCTTTATTAACAATATCATTCGAAGCAACATCTGTAATAGCTGGTTGGTCATATTAACTTTCTTCGTTTATCTCATCATTGAATTTAATTTTTTTTTGTAATGGCTCCTCCACTACTGCTAGCTCCCGAATAATGTGTGGGTGGATTTTCTCTAGATGACCCCGAAGATTAGTAGTATTACCTGAAGTTTTCAGGTTTTTATTGCAAAATTTGCAAACCGCTTCTTTATCACTACTTTTCTTAAAATAACTCCAAATTTTACTTCTTTTTTTATTTGGTGGCATTTC